GTCGTCGACGTGTGCTGCCTGCGAAGGCACCGCTGCAGCCTCGCTGCTCTTCGCCAAAATGTCTAAGGCGGTGGGCGAATGTGCCCGTGCTACATCCCCGTCGCCCGCTTGTCGGTCTTCAATCGCGTCCTCTCTGCCGCCGACGTCCGCCGCAGAAGGCGATAGAGCGGAGGGTGTCTGCGCGGGGTTCGATTGCGCATCGCGCACCGAAATTTCGTCCGCGGACAGTCAATCCGCTCCTCCGTCAGGTGCTGCTCTCTCGCTCGGTCCGCGGGAGCTGTGCCTGGCCTGTGCGCAGGCGCAAATGCCGGCGCCTTGTCCGCCGCATGCGCAGCGCCGCGGACGTCCATGTCCAAAGGCGACAAAGCCGGGGGCCGCTCGCCCGATGTCCCTTGGCCCTGAGGCCCTACCGCCGAAGGCGCATCTACCGGCGGATTACCCGCCGATGGTGCGGCCTCCGCACGCTCCCTGCTCGCATCTCCTCGGCCCGAAGGCCCTGGCGCCGAAGGCGCAAATCGCGGCGCGTCGTGCGCCGGAGGGTCTGGCCCCGAAGACCGGTGTCTCGTAGGCGGATCTTCCGCCGGCTCCTTCCCCTTCCTACGTTGGAACGGGGGTGATTCCTGCCTGTGCACAGACGGCACGTGTGGAGGTGACCTGTGCACAGGCGGACTGCTTCTTCCCACGCGTAGGCGTAGGTCCACGTCCGCTTGTGGTCGCCTGTCCGTGGAGGCTCGTCCGTCCGTGGAGGCTCGCCTGTGCGCAGACGGAACACCTGTCCGCAACGCACGTGGTAACTCCGGAGGCCCTTGACCCGTAGGCGGCCTCTCGTCCGTCGAGGGTGCAGTGCCGTCCGTTGCTCCTGCGGACGTCCGCGCTCCCTCGTTCTTCTCCGGCGACGCACTTCCTTTCTCTGTGGCAATCGTCGCCGTGTCCGCGCTGTTGGCGGGTAACACCAGCCTGCGCGCCTTCTGCTTCGGCCGGCTGTACGATTCGTACAACGGCCGCGGTCGAATGGGAGCAGAGGGTTCTTGATGCTGCTCTTCTTCGGACTCCTCTCTCCAACGCCTCTTCCGCGGCGCTCGTGCTGCAGGAGTATTCCTCCCTTCGTCCCTCCGCCTTGACGGAGTAGAAGTCGGTGACTCCTCTGCATCAGTGTCGACCTCATTCTCCCGCACATACCTCCCGGGATGGTCGACGGACAACGGTGAAAAACGCGCAAGCTCCGCCGCTGTCAAACAATTTCGCTGTCGATAAAAATTGATGAGGAAAGGAGATAGATGATTTAGAGTTCCCCCCTTGTCCTCAAAAGCGTGCTGTCGCATCACCCGGTGCAGGATGCTCGCCAAGTGAATTGGAGTTCCCTCGATGATGCACTCCACAAAAGAGACCTGCCACAATGTGATGTAACAGGCGCGGTGTGGCTGTAGTAACTGTAGCAGCGCCGTAGACAAAGTCCGGTGGAATCGATCCTTGTAATCGCGGGTCTTGTACCCATTCTTGGTAGACCTCCCCTTCTTGAACAGCTCCACAAATTGCGCCTCTTCCTGCTTGATCACCTTGACGCTCTCACTATCGAAGAGGAGGTGCCCTGGCATGCCGGCACATCTCTATCAATGCCTGCGCCCAATCTTGGACCGTCCACCGATCAACATGCGGACGCAATCCGCGCGAAGGTGGTCCCTGTGGCTCTAGCCACTCGCGCACCATATCCCCACAGATGTAGTTCCATCCCCATAGCAAGAAATCGAGCTTTCTTGCTATCAGGCGCTCCTCGAAAGCGCGCAACCCATTCTGTGGTAGTCGGAGCGGCAGCATCCGCAATCGGCCCAGCCTCGTCATTGCGTTCTTGGAGTTCGCCCGCTCGCTCATTCTACTTCCGCTCCGCTCGAGCTCCTTTCTTCCTCGGCAAACTCTAATCGCCCTCAATTCCAAATCATGCGCACTCACTTCTCCCTCAATCACCAAGAAATCCTCTGCGTGGCGATGTCGAGAATGCTTAGCAGCCAGCAGATGGACGCGCGCAGCTCGCACTAGAGAATGGAATCGCGAATTCAAGAATGGGACGCTCTCCGCCTCCCGGTCGAAGGTCATGGTCGGCTCTTGCTCGTGGAGGACGACTCAATTGATGGCCGCGCCGGCTCTACGCTGAAACGGTCTCCGCTCTCACGCGCGGCTTCACGCTCCGCCGTCGCCGATTAAACTCTCACGCTCGAATTGGCGAATTTGAACTCCGCGAGCGTACTACGCCGCGGACATGGGTGCGCAGTGCCGAAGGCGGATTTTTTGCCTTGCGCGGTACACTCGTTCGTACCGCTCCTCAGCCAATCCTCTTCTGCCTCGGCGCGTGTGTCCGCATGTCGGACAAAAGTTCAACTCCCGCCTGCGCGTAGGCGGACTCCTCGGCGGATCGTCCGCCGGCGCGGAACTTCACCCGCCCGTGCACAGGCGGTCGCCTGTGCGCAGGCGAAGTTCGTCCGCGTCGATGCGCTGGCGCGGAAGGCGTTGACCGCGGTCAACCGACTCCGTCCAGACTGTCTGTTCCTTGTCTCTCCGTCGGCGCTCTCGCCGCCGCAACTCCGTCCGTCCAAGAGCGCATCCATCCGTCCCGTCCGTACAGTCCGTACGGATTTTACTATTCTGGCGGCTCCTTGCTCGTCCGCGGCATTGCGCTGGCGCAGAAGGCGCCGTACAGTTTCTACCTCACAAGGCGCATTTCTAGGGCCCAAGGCGGATTTCCCGCCGACGCCGAAGCGCTTGTGCACAGGCGCACGCCTGTGCGTAGGCGAACTTCGCGCCTACCTCAAAACCCTATTTCGCCTGTGCGCAGACGGACTTCCTTTGTCCGCGCATAGGACAAAACTTCTCCGCCTGTGCGCAGGCGAAGAGCTGAGTATCTTACAACCTTCATAACTCCCGGAGTCCTTATCCATTGTGGGCGTTCTTGGGCTCGTTGGAATCAGTGCGTCGAGCTCTTTCCAACGAGACCCTAACTAAGTCAAGGCGTCCGGGGGTTGACCTAATTATGAAGGATTTCCCTACCGCCGCGGACGCAGCTCCGAAGGCGGGTTTTGCGCCTTGCGCCGTAGGGATCCTAACTGTAGAGCCCGCAGGGAGGGTGGTGCCCGTCCTTACCGCTGCACCCAACTCCTAGATTCTACGAGGTCCCTCGAGAATCTCTGCGATCTTCCGAATTCACTCTGTTTTGATGCACCGAAGGCTATTTACATTGCTGCCGGGGTACAGTTTTCCAAAAATGTTTTAATTTCCTCAAAATTACCAAAAGTGGGGTACCACAGTTATTGTATACCTGTTCCCCGGGTACAGCTCTGGTGATAAGCTTGCAGCCTTACCTTGTCAAGAACTCTGAATGCATTGGTTTTATTACTAAAATTTTATTTTTCTTATTTTTTTACATTTATGTTAAAAGCAGTAACAATTACAAATATGTAAATACGTCCTGAGAAATTACTGGCTAACCTAAATAATCATGCTAAATATTTAACGTCTTATTCTACGTATAAAATAGAATTAGACAAGACTATGTTAATAATATATAACTATAGATTGTGCTCGCGGGCAACATCATTTGTGATAATTTTAATGTTCTTAAATTACAACTGCAAACGCTTCATATCTGACACTATTGAATGAAACACATGCATTTTATCTACTTTATTTTTTTGTTGTTTAGAATTTGTTACCTGATTTAGATTCAGATCCAAGTGAATCATATTTTATCTGATGATTATTAGAATGTAATGTAGCTACAGAAATTAGAACCTTTGCTATTAGAACTTATGTTTTCAAACGGGGATTAAATATTATAGGAGTATGTCTGTAATGATATTGAATAACGCTGGTAAAACTTCACTTTGTGGGTATCGTGAGTTCGTAGCATATATTGATAATTAATTTAAGGTTCGTGTGCTCTACTTATTTATTCAATTGATTCAAAATGTATCACAAATTGAGATGTTTATGTTCTCATAAGGGAAATTTTTTTTTGAATGAATTACCAAGTTAATCCAAAGAGAATAGTATCTCAGCAATCCCATAATATATCTTGCCACCAATAATGATGTTTCTTTAATACGATATGAAGTATTATAGTCTATAATTTCTTAAGCTACTTGTAGCTTAAGAAATCAAGTAACAAAGGGGCAAATGTTTTTTATGGGCGCCCTCACTGTGCTTAATTGGTATATTATGCGCATACATATTATGGGTGCAGCAAGGTAATTATAAGATATAAGTTGAGTTTTGTAATCATTCCGAGAGCATATCCCCTGAATTCATCCTACAAACAATTATTATTATTCTTAAGGAAAAGTTCTTATTCGGTGACATATTCAGCGAGTTAAGCTGACATATCCAAATATGAAGTTTACAGTGCCCTTAAGACCCACTGAGTGATGGAGCTAAGCATCTCTGATCTGTTATGGGCTTGTTGCTTGACCTCGTACGCATGTGGAAACAGAGAACACAATCAGGAATCGGTAACTATTGACGATGACGGCAATTCAGCATGCCTTCTCTAAATTTTGAAGACCTTCTAACCAATGCTGGCAGAGTTCTTCACAAGCTCGCATCATAGACCAGGGCTGTACCCGGGAATCAGGTAATCACTGATGCAAATACAAAACAAATGTCATGGTTGTCCATAACAAGAAGTACCGAGCATCTGTATTCATCCAGTTTCTAAGCTAGAATCCTGCATTGTACGTTAGAGATGCTTTCTGCAAGATAGATACAGGACTTTCTCTGTAGATGTGACTCTGAACTTGCGAATATGCCAAAGAAGTGTGGACTTGACACGAAGTTATAATTGTTACGTGAAGGGACTGAGGCATAACATTGATAACCAATCAGTAGTGGACCGATGAAAGATCTGAAAGTATGAGTAACATGTCTTCTGAAGACACTAAAGGTGACGCGTTCCATAATTCAGGGTTGACAGAAGAGTGATACCTTATGGGAGAGGGAGAGGGTATTTTATTTCGAGGGATGGAAACGGAGTGGAGAATGATTCAGAGTATCTTCGAGATAAGTTTGTTGAACGTGTAGAAACCTCAGACTTTGCCAGACTAACCATGAACGTAATCGTCTGTCCGGATTGCAAGACGAGAGAGCATGTGATGGACTACGCTTCGGGGGACGTCATTTGCGTCGAGTGTGGGCTCGTTCTCGAGTCTCATTTTGTGGACGACGCGCCGGAATGGCGTACATTTGCGGACCAGAGCGGAGCGAAGGATCGAAACCGAGTTGGTGATTCGTACAATGCCCTGCTTCCAGACGGTGGCATCTCCACAACCTTCAGCCATGTGGAGGGTAATTGCATTTCGTCATCCCTCAAGCGTGCAGAATCTCGACTCCCCAATGGAGACAGCAGTCGGCTCCTCTCTAGCATAACCAGATGTGCCTCTATGGCTTCACGACTGGGTCTGGTTCGGAGCATTCAGACCATCGCTTCCGAAATCTATCAGAAGGTGACAAACCTGAATTTAACCAGAGGGAAAAGTCAAGAAGCGGTGCTGGCGTCTTGTTTGTACCTGGCGTGTCGCCAGGAGGGCGAACCCCGGTCGATGAAAGAGATTTGTTCGGTTGCAGAAGGTACATCGCTGAAGGAAGTGGGACGAGCTTTGCTGTACATAGAGAAACACATCATCAAAGAAAAACACATCAAGGAAGATCTAGGAATGGGCAAGTCCGTCAATGCAAGAGATTTCGTGATTCGTTTCTGCATAAAGCTAGGTGTGAGTTATAAAGCGAGATTAGCAGCCACAAAAATCGTCCAAATGGCTGACAACCGGCTCTACGTGAGGAGAAACCCCATGTCCGTGGCTGCAACTGCAATATTCATGGTTTCCCAAATCCATGAACCAAGGAAGAGTTCTATGGGAGAGATCTCTACAGTTTGTGGTGTGGGCATAATCACAATATTGGAAACTTATGAAGTTCTCCTCCCTCGTGCTTCCATGATCATTCCGGCTTGGTTTGCCAACCACGAACAGCTTAGAGCTCTTCCACCTCTTCCACTCAAACGACGAGCTTTAGGGTGGAAGAGTTGAGTGGAAGAGTTTGAATTGGAATCGCGTTCCCACTCGACAACGACATCCATTTCCACATGAGTTCCGAGTACATAATAGAAGAATAGAATTGGAGAATCTTCGTGAAAATATCTCATCACTGTCAACTCTAAGATTCATCTGGTTTGATTGCTCGCATGTAAGTTGCATGCGATCAAGCTCTCCAAGAGTATGACATTTCATGCCTCGTGGTTCACTTTGAGATCACTAAAAACATGACAACTGGGATAGCTTTTGTTTTTAGCAGCATCACAATTTTATGAGTAGTCTCTCTTGTCCGCAACAGATTTGCAGTGAACGTTTTCTCCAAAATATTTCGCAGCAAAGCAGCAGGAGGCCATGAAGTAAAAGATGGCTGCAGACATCAGCTTGACAATCATGCCTAAAATAAGACTTATTGATAGCATGATTCAAAAGTCGAAATTTGTCTTCTACGATTTTCACTAGCAGCAAGTTTTACACTGAATGTCGTTTTAGTTATGGGCTATCTTTGCTTGTAAAAAAACATAAAGATCAACGAGTCTCTCAACTAAACGGGATTTTCTTCTGCTGCTTGGTTTCACTAGAGAGAAAGCATAAACATTGAGTGCATATGATATCCACATGCATCAATATACACTACTTGGCGAATGCTTTGATGTCTTAAATCACATATTCCATTCTTCATTCTTTTTTGACATGTGATGTACTGTTCTATTCATGATTCATTAGACCGAGCAAGTAAATTTTATTTCGTGAGGAGTCCATGATAATTCTTCAGTCCAATCAAAGTTGTGATTGTTAAATGCTCATTATACGTATATTCCGTGATTCTTCAATATAACAGAATTTAGAATATTCGTTTCTTCCTATACGTTAACTTTGCTCAACTTGACATGTTTGTGGCGTCTTAAAGTTGTTAATAAAAAGCATAATGTGGATATATTTTGTTAGTAGAAACATTGAGAATATTTTTCATACAAAACAATCATCAGCCTCGGTCCTGTTCAACTCGTGTTGAATAAACTAGAAGATGGTTTCTCTTGTAAAATCAAATTTCTTGCATCGCTGTTGATTTTTTAATTTTATATAATTCTATATTTATTTGATTTTTCTAACTTACATTGTTATAACCTTCACAAAAATGTGAAATCAGTATTTTTAACAAGAAGTTATATAAATTTTATTTTTTGTAAAGCATATTGAATGGAAAGAATTAAAATATATTTTTACTTGATGGGAAATAATTTTTTTAAAAAATGTATCTCATATCTACAGAGTGCTTTATTAAGCAATTATGATACTAACAATCACCTGTAATTTGTGTAACAAATCATATGCAAAATTTTAGATTTGGTAATAATTGAAAATATATATATGAAAACTTAAGCATTTGATCCTTATATGTAATCCAATTCAAACATAAAAGTGAAAAAGTAATAGATTTTATGTTGAAACGCTATCTTTACTTATAAATCATTAGAAGACAATTTGTCGGAAAACTTATGTAGAGTAGATATTATCCCTGGTGTGAAGGAAACCCACCTCAAGGTCTGCTCGAAAATGTTTGGGTGCTTAAATGGAGGTACAAATGAAATGTAAGATCATCGTGACCTCACTGCGCAACGTCTGTTTATGTATAATTGCTCCAGTTTCAAGGCTTATGAGATTTGCAACAAGTTTCGATAACAATTTTCTTGGCCCCGAATTGAAACTGAACATCATAAAGAATTTATTTTTGCTCTCGGCACGTGCACATCACATACATGAGGGTAACTATCAGCTCATTACCACAACATTGATCGAGTACACAAGCCTACATAGAAATCAGCGATGAACTTCAAACTCGTACACAGGAGGAGGCAAGTCCGAAGGTTGAAAGGTGACGTCGGGCTAGCATCGTCGATCAGCTCTATGGAGACTGCAGGAAAAACACGTCAGATAAGTCTCTTACGAGATCTATGAATATCAATAATTCTCGAATCTAGAATTAAAAAACGTCGCAGTTTTCCAGATTGTTTTGCTGCTTACAAAGATTTGCGAAGAATTGGCGTCAGAATGGTTACTATATTCCTCAGTAACTCACGACTGAGATCAGGCAGACGATGGAATTGAAAAGAATCGGCGAGCTCAAGTTCTCAAAAGCATCACAACGAGTATGAAACACGAGGACTACTCACAAGAATGGAGAGAAGAGACCCGACAAAAATTGTGAAGATGAGGTCCAGTACCACTGACACTGGACCATTGAGCAGCCCGGTGATGGTCACGAGAAGACCGGTTGCGGCTGAGTTCGTGCGGATGACAATGTTGGTCACATTCGAAAGAGTGAGCACTCGTCCCACCTGCGATGTGACCCCGAGCACCGTGCTCTGAAGCAGCAAGTCTACTTGGCCGTCGACTGCCTGAATGTTTCGGATGAAGAACTGGCCATCGTTGGCGGGACTGTGGCCAGCAGGTTCAATGTGCCGTTCAGAATCTGGAAGATCAGAACTTAGACGGGGCTAGCATTGGTGACTGTGATAACTGGCGTCGTCGCGGGTGCTGGTGGAGGTTGCGCAGCAACTGGGCTCCATGCTGCGAGGACTACAGCAAATGCTAGAAGGAGAGCAGTCTTGGTCGTCATGGCTGCAGCTGCGGATGCAAATTAGACAATTGAGACTCTGCCTGAGCTAAAGATCTGGAAGGCAGCGAATGATGATGGGAAGAAGTTGAGAAGCCAATACAATATATAGTGAAGCCGATTGTGCTTCTTCTGAAGGGACAATATTGGATGCCTCGGAGAGACGGTGAGTGTTTCTTCCACTGATTCAGTCTGAACCCTTGATCTGCATGATCGGCAGTTCGTGTCCAAAATATTTGCCACGTAAAGGACCATGTATCATCTATGTACTTTTTTTCAGATAAGGATTTCAGGTGAATGATGTTTTGATTCTACTTTGGTCGTGCACAGAAAAGTTCCGCTCACTACTCCTTAAAGTGAAGGAGCCTTGATGTCCTGCCGCTAAGGTCATCATATGTCTTGTCTATCACATTGAAGATCGAGCTATATATTCGCATACAAGTTAATTATGGAACCTTATATTTTCTCCGTGGTTTGAAGAAAGAGATATTTGACCTAACACCTCTGTGAACAAGAATACATTGAAAGTTTCAAACAGGTAATTTGATACACAGTACAGTGCGAATGGTTGAAGTGTTAGATGATCATCTTCCAAAGTAAGAGTCGCTGAAAGGAGTTCATGACATTGCCTGCATGCAAATCATTCGTGGATACATCTTAATAGTTTATAGAGTGTGCACTGTGGCCTGGTACTTAGGCTCTGAAGAAAGAAGGAAGACCAAATTCCACGACAGCCAAAGCTCTTTCAACCGTCTGCATTATTGTTGCTGCACAGGAGACAAGACTGCACTCACTATATAAATTTATTGGATTCCCCTTAAGTTTCACCATCGATCGCAACCTTCCGGTTCAGAAGCTCATTCAGCATAGTGTCGGTTCTCTCACTTGTATTCCCAGCTCCAGCCATGGTGTCCAAGGCTACGCTCCTCCTGGTGGCAGCATTTGCTGTGGTCCTCGCAGCATGGAGCCCAGTGGCTGCGCAGTCACCACCATGAGCACCCGCGAGGACGCCAGTTATCACAGTCACCAATCTTAGCCCCGTCGAAGTTCTGATTTTCCAGATTCTGAACGGCACATTGAACCTGCTGGCCACAGTCCCAGCCAACGTTGGCCAGTTCGTCCACCGAAACTTTCAGGCCGTCGACGGCCAAGTAGACTTGCTGCTTCAGATCACTGTGCTCGGGGTCACATCGCAAGTGGGACGAGTGCTGACTCTTTCGAATGTGACCAATATTGTCATCCGCACGAACTCAGCCGCAACTGGTCTCGTCGCCACCATCACGGGCTTGCAAAATGGTCCAGTGTCAGTCGTACTGAACCTTGTTTTCACCACTGTTGTGGGCGCTCTTCTCTCAATTCTTGTGAGTATCCTTCAATCTCTGATTTTGAATTGTGGACTGACTCTTCGCATTACCATCATCACATGGCCGCATATCTGTTTGAAACTTGGTAATCAAACTTAAAAAATATTACTTCTCCAAGATTAGAAAGTTTATGCATTATGTATCTTTCGCTTCGTAACTCATGTAGAACCAGTTATTTTACGAAATTTTGAGACGTATCTCACCTGTACCTGATTTGTTGATAAAACCGATAAAATACTACCCCTCCAGTACTAAAGAGAAAATACATTGTGTATCTTTAGCTTCATAACTTATGTAGAATCTGTAGAATAGTATAGCAAATTTGAGCCCTACATCATCTTCATGTGAGTTCAGTTGTATCTTCAGTGTACAAGTACACTGAAGATACAACTGAACTCACAAGTTGTCGGCTCCTTATGTAATAACCCACCAGAGGCTAAAACTGCAGTATGGTGGTAAAAAGATCGAACCCACAGGGACAGAGGCAACACACAGAGTAAAAGTGTCACGTTTAACAGACTTTTGGTAGAGTTTGAATTCTAGGCAACTGTCACTCCCAGAATACTGTAGTGCTCGACTCGGAGGCTCGACTCGGAGGAGGAACTCAACTCGGAGGATGCTCGGAGGATGCACGGTACAGCTTCTGGGTGACCGCCAGGTGTTGTCGGAGGGCGGTGTTCCTATCCACATATACTCCGCATCTAGAGGCCCACCTTGCCACCTTGCTCCTCGTCCTTCGCCTGATTGTCTCCACATAAGACTGCGGTTTTAAGGCACTTCCGTATTTGGATGTCTTGCGATCCAGATATCGCAGGAGTGGAACTATCTGTTCGCACAGCACCCCTGTTGGCGTTTTCTGCACTGACTCCTCTTCTTGCTCTTCCGAGCTCGTATCATCCTCAGTCGCGAGGATTTCAGTCGCCACCGAATCCCTTGGCGACTCCCTGGAACTGTGGCGCGCAGCAGCTTCTGCTGCGACTGCTGCTCCACTGCCTGCTAAAATATCCAGGGCAGTGGGAGATCCCACTGCTTGAGCCCCTGTTCCGGCTCGATCTTCGGTTTGTGAAGGGGTCGACGCCGCAGTGACTTTTGTCGCTCTTGCACCGCCCGCTTCTGCTGCCTGTCCTTCCGGCACAATCTGCGCGGAAGGTGTCCTTGCTGAAGGTGCGTCCGCCGAAGGCGTCCGCACACTGGTCGTTGGCCCCATCCGTCTTGCAGTCGGCGAA